GACTGCCAGCTCAGAGCCTGGAGCCTGTTTCAGTCTGTGACTCCCTCTCTCTCTGACCCTCCCCTGCTCACACTGTCTCTTTCTCTCTCTCTCTCCTAGAAATAAATAAAACATTAAAAAAATAATAAATTAAAAAAAAAAAAAAGAAGAAGAAGCCAAGGGAGAGTCCTGGAACTGGAGTTAACATGTTTCAGAGTCATTAGCTATTAGATGGGATTGAAATCCATGAGAATGGATGAGATTCTCTAAGGAAACACATAGAAAAGAGAAGTATCCCAGGACTGAGCCCTGAAACACCTCAGCATTTAGAGGAAAGAGAAAGGGAGAAGAACCAGCAAAACACTAAGAAGGAAGGGTCAGCAAGGCTGGGATGTGGGGGAAGGGGCAGGGACCAGATAAAGGTGGTATCTTAAAGCTGAGAGATGAGTGCATTTCAAAGGATGGAGGCCCAGAAAGGGACCATGGATTCAGCAGTGAAGAGGTTGCTAGCTTTCTTGGGAAATACGGACACTGCGTGCTGGTGTTCCATGACTACTTTGCCATTTCAAAAATATTTCAGTCAGCTGAGTTGGGGAACTGCTAGGAGGGGTGTAAAGCTCTTCAGAACCCTATGAAGTGGAACAGCACCTGGAAGGTCCACAGCAGATATGAAGCATTTTTACCAGAGTGTCTTTTTTTTTTTAATGTTTATTTTAGAGAGAGAGACAGAGTCTGAGTGGGGGGAGGGGCAGAGCGAGGGACACACAGAATATGAAGAATGCTCCAGGCTCTGAGCTGTCAGCACAGAGCCTGACACAGGGCTCAAACTCAGGAACCAGGAGATCATGACCTGAGCTGAAATCAGAACTGCTTAACTGACTGAGCCACCCAGGTCCTACCAGAGTGATCTTTTTTAAAAGATATAAATCAGATACAATCACTCCCTTGCTCAGATGATGGAATTCCTATTTATATCTGAAGTAAAATCCAAACTCCTTGAAATATTGGGTATTTCAGAGCTTAATCTTGAGTTCTTATCTTTTCTCTCCCTATGCTCTTTCCCCAGGCAACGCCCTAGTACCTGTGGATCTAAAAGCCATCTTTAGACTGATGAATCCCAAATTTATCTCTAGCTCAGACCTCCCCTTGAGCTCCACACTCCTACAGCTAATGGCTGACTTAATATCCTCACTTGAGTGTGATATGATAAAAACTTAATGTGATCAGAAGAATTATTTTTCCCCAAAAAAGTGATCCTTTACCACCCCTAGTCTCTTCCATCTTCCCTACGTCAATAGTGGCACCAACATCTTGACTAGCCAGAAACTTGATTCCTTTCTTTCCGGGCCCTACCCACGCTGCCCCTACTCTTCCCCTTCCCATCAAAATCTATCAGTAAGTCCTGGTGATTTTGCTCCCCAACCTGCATCTCAATTCTGCCCTCTTCTTCCCATCTCGTCTCACCTTAGTCTAGGAGCCACCGCCTGCCTCCGGCAACTAACAGCCAGAGTCTCCCAATCAGTTTCCCCACCTATACCCTTGCTCTCCTCCCTCCACTCTCCACACCCAGGCTCAAGTAATCTGAAAATAAATCAGTATGTCTCCTTAAAAAGCTCTTTCAATGGTATGTCTCGTTAAGCTCTTTCAGTGGCTTTCTACTCTGCTGAGGACAACATGCAAACCCCTTATAATGGCCCACAAGGTCCTGCATTAACATTTCCTATCCATTTCCCTTCCCTGTGATGCTCCAGCCAAGCGGGCCTCAACCATGCTATGTTCTTTCCCATCTCTGGGCTTTAGAATATACTGTGTCCTCTACCTGGTCATTCTCACCTCACTATATGACCAGAGCTTTCCCATGCTAGAGTCGAAATGTCATCATTTCAGAAAAGCTTTTTTCTGATCTCTTTACCAAAACCAAGCCTTCTCTGTTTTTAATTTTTTTTTAATGTTTATTTCTGATAGATATAGAGAGAGACAGGGAGGAGAGGGAGGGTCAGAGAGAAAGGGAGACACAGAATCTGCAGCAGGCTCCGGGCTCTGAGCTGTCAGCACAGAGCCTGATGCGGGGCTCGAACTCCACAATCTCTGAGATCACAACCTGAGCCAAAGTCAGACATTTAACCCTCTGAGCCCCTCGTGTGCCCCAACAGTCCTCTGTTATTCACGATCTCAGTTCCTTGTCTATTTTCTTGTGTGGTATTTGTACAGCTTGCAATAATCTTACAGGCTTTGGTTTTTTGACAATCTGTTTCTTTCACCATAAGCTCCATTGCACAGGGACTGTGTCTGTCTGGTCCCCCAGTTTCTAGCATCTTGCTGGGCATGAAGGAAACACTCAAATATCTGCATCAATGATCTCCAGTTTGGGGATGGTCTCATCTGTTTTGGGAACTCAACAATCCATTTTGTTGCTGTTGTTTTTTTGTGTTAAAAACTTGTCTCCACTCACCTGGATCTGAGGTTCTCAGATGGATTTCAGGTTTTTGAAGCAACCAGGCTGGGAGACCCCCCTGAGACAAACATGAAGACAACAGGTTTTGTTGTTTGGGAGTGGAGCAGCGGAGGCAAGGAGGGAGGATATTGCGTTTAGCACTGGAAGTGGCCCTGCAGTGTGGGCAGGTGGGAGGAGTCTCGGAAGTGCACGGGAATGGCTCCAGTTCTATCCCTTCTCCTAACTCACCATCTCCCACTCTGCACAGATGTAAGGTCCTGGTCTCAGTATGACCAACAGGTTCGCTATAGATGCCTCATTCAGAAATGCAATGAGGTCCCGGCTGCCATTAAAATTATAGACCCCAGGCTCTGGCTCATGGTAGTTCCAGGGCACATAACTGAGAAAGAAAGAGGTTAACAGGGCCCAAGGCAGGATGGTGCTGAAGAAGCCTAAGGGCTCAGGCCTTGCAGGGAATCTCCAAAAAGTGCTTGGAAGAAGGTCCTGGCCCACCCTTTCCCACCCTAGGCGGGGACACCCTGGAGCTCTCACACCCAGCCAGTCTTCCTGTCCCAACCCCTTCCTCAAGGGAGTGGTAGGAAGAATAAATCCCACCCTCCATGGCTCTCCTGAGCACTTCTTACAACTGGACAGCATTGAGGCCACTCATTCGCATCTTGAAGAGCCGGTCTGCCCAAAGCACCCGTGGTACTCGAAAGTAGTGCAAGCTGCCAGACACGTAGCGGAACGGGGCTCCATCCAGGAGGAATCTGTCATTTTCCCGATCCAGTATGAACGACCGAGTGTCTGCCTGCAAAGGGAGACACTACTTTCAGCAGAAGTCTGGAGTGGGGGGGTCAGTGTCTGCGGAGGAGATGGAACTAGGCCTGCTCATTGTTATGTTAATTTCACTTTCTTTCTCTCCTGGGATAGATCCGATCCCGCCTCACCTCACCCAGCCTGCTGATTCAATCCTGTGGTTTTACCTGGGGCAGCAGCAGCGTCAGAAGTGGCAACAGCAGGGAAGGAAGGCAGGGCGGCTTCTTAGGAGCCATGGCGCTAACAGGGCTCCTCTAGTCAGAGAGGGCGGTCCGGCTGTCACGTGGCGGATTCCTGGGAGGGAACCTCAGCGAGCAAGGGGGTGGAGACCACCTCTAGTTGCCAGGCGATTAGCCTGGACTTGTCCACCCGCTACTCTACTAGTTTGTAAAATCCTCTACATCTTGAATCAGCTTCATCAGCGTCACCTGGGAGCTTGTTAGAAATGCAGAGTCTCAGGTCCTACCTCAGACCTATAGAATCAGAATTTGTATTTTAACAAGATGCCAGGCGATTCTAAAGACATGCAAGATTGAGAAGCTCTGTTCTACTAAACAGCTCCCTGAGGGTGAAGAGTACCTTGTCCATTTTGAATCCTCAGCTTCTAGCACAGGGCCGGGCACATAGCAGGTTAAATCTAGATGAATGAATGTCAGAACCAGGGGGCTAAAACAGGTTCAGAACCAAGAGAAACCAGATCTTCCCAGTGGTGTGAAAGTAGGGGAACAGGTTGTAAGAGGGATCTTTTTTCCTGGTGACCCTGTTTCAGCAAGAGAGAGCATCTTGGCCATCCCATCTTCTTTGGATGTGCACTGCTCTCCAATTTATCCCTGCCTGCCTGTGCGAGAGATGCCAAAGACAACTTGGTGCGAAGGGTTAGGGATTTGTGAATTTCCATGACTCCTGCCTTCACAGTCCCAAGCCTGGGATGTAAGGACCAGGATAATATAAAAATAATAATTTCTGTTTACTGACACTAAGGGCTGTGTGTCAAATATCGTGCTAAACACTTTACACCTCATTTAATTTTCAAAAAACTCTGCGCGGTAGATAATTCTCATTTCCATTTTACAGAAGAAATTGAGAGAAAAGATAAATAGCCTGTTTAAGGTCACATGCCTAGTTTAGCAGAGATGGGATTTGAATTAGCCAGTCTAGCCTCACAGTACGTGCACTTAACCTTGTTTACGTGTAGGGAAACTGAGGCTCTGAGAGGTTAAGTAAGTTGACCGAGGTCACACAGCTAGTAACTAAGCTATTAAAACAAGATTTAGAACCTTGTCTAGTTTAAGAGCCTAAGCTCTTAACTACTGAAATTAGGGTAGTGGGATACAGGCCAGAGTCCCCAAGGTTGTACGAAACAGAGATGCAGGGGTCCAGGCCGCCAGCACCCACCCCAGCACCGCCCCTCGCGGCTGGACTGTAGTCAGCCTCCTACCTCCGGCATTGGGAGATGGAAGTCCTAGGGGCCTCGGGCCGAGCCCGGCTTTGCTCCCCTTTGGCGTACGTGCCTGCGTCTTGACCACTACTGAAAGCCAAGTGTGGAACCCTCACCCGAGTCCTGGGACCCGTCCTACCCCAGGCTTAGCCCGCCCCCGGCCTCTCCGCTCCCTGCCCCCACATCATCCACACGCCCAGCGGTTGCTAGGATACCGCGGGCCGTTACGCCGGCGCGGAATGATGACGTATCCACTCCTTCCGGTCTCCGGCGCCTCTCTCCAGCCCGAGCCAGGTCAGTGGCGAACCGGGCTGACCCTCCGCGGGCTCTGGGTGCCGAGCCCGGGGGTGGGCTCTGCCGGAGGTGGGCCAGGGCCTCGTACTCCCCGGAACTACCCTCTACCCTGCCGTGGCGGCCCAATGGCCGCGGGAGCGGGGGCCTCTCACTGGTGAGCTGGGGTTGGAAGAAGCGACCTGGTAGTCGCTGTGTGGCCGGAGGCTTTAAGGCACCTGACTCCAACCTTCTTGGAGTCAGCGTCGCCAGGGCTCGTTGTCTCTATGTTACGAGACCTGGGCCCCAGCCCTCCTGGTATTCAGGGGTCGTCTGGATTGCCCCCGACCCACGACTCTCCCGGGTATTTTTTTTCCTTCCAGTATGATCCGCTGGGCCCCCAGCGCATCCCCCGGAAGAGCCCACTCAACCTGGACGAAGCCTTCGGCAACCTCAGACCGCCGTTGAGGAGAATGACTGAGACACTATGGGCCACGCGTTGTGTGTCTGCTCTCGGGGAACTGTCATCATTGACAATAAGCGCTACCTCTTCATCCAGAAACTGGGGGAGGGGTGAGTCTTTGGAAACCACTCAGCTAGTAGCCCCCGGGGTTATGGTAATTGAAGGACAGCAGTCTGCACATGATAGGGGCATAGAAGTGCCCTCTTAACATATCCTTTAGGGCACCTGACGGAGCCTAGCGACACGGTAGTCAAAAAAGTAGATTCAGGAGCCAGGCCTCCTGGGCCCGCCTTGTGTGACCTTGAAAAGCCATGGTTTCTTCATCTGCTTCACGGAGATACTTTTTTTTTGGTCACTGATGGAGTTGTAAGGATTAAATGAGATATAATGCATATAAAACATCTCACCCAGTGCCTGGTTCGCAGCATGTGATAAGTGTTGAGTGTCACTCATTTAATGTTTATGGTGCGTTTGTCATGTGCAGGACACTGCGTTATGACCAAAGCACCTCAAAGATTGCTGTGTTCCTGCTCTGGAGCCCAAAGTGTAAAATCGGCACACTTCTCTTGAAACCACATCTTGGGAGGGTTTCTGCCAACTGGGAAAGATACCCGCCCCCCCCCCACCTCTTCTTCCCCAGGGACTTCCTAGCAGAATGGGACATGACTGTGGTCCTTCACTGACCCCTTTGGCCCACAGTGGGTTCAGCTATGTGGACCTAGTGGAGGGGTTACATGATGGACACTTCTACGCCCTGAAGCGGATCCTGTGTCACGAGCAGCAGGATCGGGAGGAGGCCCAGCGAGAAGCAGACATGCATCGCCTCTTCCATCACCCCAATATCCTCCGCCTTGTGGCTTATTGTCTGAGGGAGCGGGGCCCTAAGCATGAAGCCTGGCTGCTGCTACCCTTCTTCAAGGTCAGAAAGTCTCCTGGCAATGGAGGGGCTTGCAACAAAGCCGTCTACCCAGGGCTGTGTGAGTAGTCAAGCATGTCAGGAAGCAGACGCCTCTTCAGATTTGGGGTTCAAAGGAACCCAGGTGGGAGTGTGAAGCGTGCAGAGTGTGCGGTGAAAGAGTTGATAGGCTGTGACCTAGGGAAGGGGTCAGGCTCAGGGATCAGAGGCCCAAAAAACATCTCCAACTTTGGGGAAACTTGTGTTGCAGAGGGGTACGCTGTGGAACGAGATAGAAAGGCTGAAGGACAAAGGCAACTTCTTGACTGAAGATCAAATCCTTCAGCTGCTGCTCGGTATCTGCAGAGGCCTTGAGGCCATTCATGTCAGAGGTTATGCCCACAGGTCAGTGAGAGGGCCGTGTGTATTTTCGGGGCAGAAAGGAAGGGGATTGAGAGGTCTCTGCTCTCCCTTCCAAGGAACAATCCCCAAGATTCTTTGGCCCCCAGGGATTCCAGCCTCCCTATCCAGGGCTGCTCATGGGTCATTTCCACTTCCCTACAGGGACCTGAAGCCTACCAATATCTTGCTTGGAGATGAGGGGCAACCGGTTTTAATGGACTTGGGTTCCATGAATCAAGCTCGCATCCATGTGGAGGGCTCCCGCCAGGCTCTGGCCCTGCAGGTAACAGACCCCCCCGGCTCCTTTGCCCCCCTATCCCCCATCACCAACTTCTTCCGGTGGATGCCCTAGTTTGGTCACATGACTGTGACCTGTGCCCCACTTTTGAGCTGTGGGGCCACTGTTCCAGGACTGGGCAGCCCAGAGATGCACCATCTCCTACCGGGCCCCGGAGCTCTTCTCTGTGCAGAGCCACTGTGTCATCGATGAGCGGACCGACGTCTGGGTGAGGAACATGTAGGCGGGAGTTTGGGGGGAGAGGAGTGCAACTCTGTACCTGCTGGGAAGTAGAGGGGCAGGTCTTTGGTTTTGAGTGCATGGGGCCCCCGGAACTGCATGTGTCTCCATCCCCCTCGACTTCCTTCCTGGGAGCTGTCGTTGACACTGTACTCAGTTGCTCAGGAAGTGGTATAATCCCGCTCTTTGAACAGAGTGAATACAGCTAAGCGTCAGGGCTGAAGGCAGTGGCTAAACTCGGGGTGCAGAAGCCTCCAGCTAACTGGCGGTTTCTCTGGACCCTGCCTTGGTGTCATGTGGCTGAGGTTGGCATATTCTTTTTAGCTTATGTAGTCACATTTCACTACAGAATTAAGAGGAGAGGTATCCCCTCCAGTGGTCCCCTGTCAAAGAATAACCAAGTTGTGCTCAGTCCCTAGGCTGTGTGCTATATGCCATGATGTTTGGGGAGGGCCCGTATGACATGGTGTTCCAGAAGGGTGACAGTGTGGCCCTTGCTGTGCAGAACCAGCTAAGCATCCCGCAGAGTCCCAGGTAAGCAATAAAAGGGCCACCAAACACTTCAGACTGCTCCGACATTGGTAGAGTTGGGACCTCCGCGCAGGGAACGAGGACTCTCGGGTCACCATGCCCACCTCCTTCCACAGGCATTCTTCAGCACTGCGGCAGCTCTTGGCCTCCATGATGTCCGTAGACCCCCAGCAGCGACCCCCCGTCCATCTCCTCCTCAGTCAGCTGGAGCCACTGCAGCCCCCAACTTTGGGCCAGCACACCACCCAAATCTGAACAAACCAGTGGCCATGTTGAGGTGGCCCCCGGGCCTTGGAAGGAGGCTCCCCTCCCCTTATTAGAGTCTCCACCTGTTCTCCGCAGGACTTGTCTTGTAGTTGGGGGCAGGTGGATGGGGGACAGCCAACTCAGCCTTCCGTCTCTGTTTCTCCTCGCTTATCTCCAGGAGCAACAACTGAACGGGGGACTCACTGAGTTGAGGTGGCCAGGGGCGGGGGATGGGGAAAGGGAAACTGATAGAATCGAGAAAGGCTCTGAGCAGGACTGCTGAGCTTACATCATGGTCTGCCTCCACATTTGGGAGCAGGAGAATGTATAAAAAGAATAAAGTGAAAGCTTGGAGTGGATCTTAGTCTCATTTTTCCTGGAGTGGGAGAGAAGAGGTGCCAGGGGCCCAAGGTCTGGTTGCCATTTCCAAGAGAACAGCCTGGGAAGAGGGACCGGTGTGGTGAGGGATGGTGTGACTTCGTCGTTCCATGTAAGGAGGCAGGTACCCTTACCTTACATCGGGCCAGCCCGAAGTGGGCAGTTATAGCTCACCTTAGTCCAACACTTAAAGCTGTTCTGGATCGAGCTGGCCTCAGTGCTAAGAACTGGGACCGGGGCCCCCGAGAGGCACACTCAGTTCTTTCCTTCGTTCCCAGGAGTGGGTAGCTGAGTCAGAGCAGCCCAGCCGGTTTGCCAGGCAAGGGCTTCTGGGTGGAGGCAGCTGAGGACGCTTTGGGACAACAACATAACAGGTCTCCCAGCCTCAGCCCGGGGGCAAGGGGAGTGGAGGTGGCAGCCTTTTGGCCCTAGTTTCTCCCAGATGGTTCTAGCTCACACATGGTTAATGATTAATGAGGCCACTGTGGTGTGGCAGTATCCAGCTGCCACTTCCTGCCTACTCTGCTGAGTAAACAGGGGCCCTGCCTTTGCTTAGGCTGAACTGTTCCCTAGGGAAGGGCACCACGTCCCTGAATCACCAGGGAGGGGAAGGCAAGGGCAGGGCTGGCATCTCCTACTCCTGAGATTGAAGTTTCTTTTCTCCTCCCCACCAGCCCCCCACCACACCCTGCTGTGCTCACCCCCATGTGCTGACGTCGGTGTGGGTCCTGGGGTGCCTATTAGCAATGCTGGAGTTTTCTCCAGGGCCCTGGCAAGAGCGTCCCCCCGCCCCCCGCTAGCATAGAGGCTGAGGCCAGAAAGAGAGCACAAACAGAGAAGAGATGACCTGACTTTTAATGGCACAGCCCTAGGCCCCAGCAAGGCAGCAAGAGGGACAGACAGCCGTGTGAAGTTGCTCAGAGGTGCAGTGACACAACTCGAGGAGATCGCCCTTGTCCCCTCCCATCCCCCAAGCTTATGACTAGGCTCCGTGCCCAGGAACTGTGGGCCAGCCCAGCCCCACTCCCAAGCCCTCATCACGCACAGAGGTGCCCGGGCCAAACTTCCAGAGTCCGTGAATGTAGAAGCAGCAGGAAGAAATAGGGTAGCAGTCTAACTCAAACACAGAAACTGCTGGACTTAAACTCCTACTTGGAAAGGAAGTGAAAACTCGTATCTTTTCAACAGCTTGTGGCTGGACAGACAGGTCCGGGATTCAGTACTCATTTTCTCTCTCCTATACTGGGCGCCCCTGGGATCTGACATCAAGGTCCCTGAGGTCACGCTTCCTGGGCCTGGCAAGGACCCCTTGGCATATCTCACCTTCAGACATGGAAGGGAAAGGGGTCATGGGCAGCAAAGAATGAGGGCAGCAGCAGAAGCAGTGAAGTGGCGGTGGCAGCACAGAGAGGAGGTCAGCAGAAGCCCAAGCACTCACAGAGGGGACAAGAAAGCGTGCAAGGAGACTGTTTATTTCGAAAGGAATTTGCAATAAACATAGTGGACTCCAGGCAGCTGTTCTATTCTTCTCCCTCATCCTCGTCCTCATAGGAGTCGATGCCCACCTCCTCGTAATCCTTCTCCAGGGCAGCCATATCTTCCCGGGCCTCAGAGAACTCCCCCTCCTCCATGCCCTCGCCCACGTACCAGTGCACAAAGGCCCTCTTGGCATACATGAGGTCGAACTTGTGGTCCAGGCGGGCCCAGGCCTCGGCGATGGCGGTCGTGTTGCTCAGCATGCACACGGCGCGCTGCACCTTGGCCAGGTCACCCCCGGGCACCACGGTGGGCGGCTGGTAGTTGATACCAACCTTGAAGCCCGTGGGGCACCAGTCCACGAACTGGATGCTGCGCTTGGTCTTGATGGCGGCGATGGCGGCGTTGACGTCCTTGGGCACCACGTCTCCGCGGTACAGCAGGCAGCAGGCCATGTACTTGCCGTGGCGGGGGTCGCACTTCACCATCTGGTTGGCAGGCTCGAAGCAGGCGTTGGTGATCTCGGCCACCGACAGCTGCTCGTGGTAGGCCTTCTCCGCAGAGATGACGGGCGCGTAGGTGGCCAGGGGGAAGTGGATGCGGGGGTAGGGCACCAGGTTGGTCTGGAACTCCGTCAGGTCCACGTTGAGGGCCCCGTCGAAGCGCAGGGAGGCCGTGATGGACGAGACGATCTGGCTGATGAGCCGGTTGAGGTTGGTGTAGGTGGGGCGCTCGATGTCCAGGTTGCGGCGGCAGATGTCGTAGATGGCCTCGTTGTCCACCATGAAGGCGCAGTCCGAGTGCTCCAGGGTGGTGTGCGTGGTCAGGATGGAGTTGTAGGGCTCCACCACGGCCGTGGACACCTGGGGGGCGGGGTAGATGGAGAACTCCAGCTTGGATTTCTTGCCGTAGTCGACCGAGAGCCGCTCCATCAGGAGTGACGTGAAGCCCGAGCCGGTGCCCCCTCCGAAGCTGTGGAACACCAGGAAGCCCTGAAGTCCTGTGCACTGGTCAGACTGAAAGGCAGGAAAGAGAAAGGGCAATGTCGGTGGGTGAGGGGCCTGAGAAACTCTACCTTCTGGCTCCACAAAAGCCTAAAATCTCTCAGGAGTCAGGGCAGAGACCGAGGAGTCTGGAACATACACATTGAGAGATGAGATGACCCCCCTGAAATGGATCCTAAAAACAAACAAACAACAAAAATGTTCCTGACCATTAGCATCATCTAAAAGCTCCCTCCCTCTCATCCCCAAATCTCACCAGCTTGCGGATCCGGTCCAGTACCGGGTCAATGATCTCCTTGCCAATGGTATAGTGACCACGGGCATAGTTGTTAGCGGCATCCTCCTTCCCAGTGATGAGCTGCTCCGGGTGGAAGAGCTGCCGGTATGGGCCATTCCGGATCTCATCTGGAAGGACACAAACACATCGTTAGGGCACAAACCACAAGGCTGTGCTCAGCAGGCACCTCCCTCCCCCAGCGTGGTAGCTGCGGTCAGATGTATGGAAGAGCTCATCCTTCTGTAAGCCTGTGATACCAGCGTGTGAGAGAAACCCACACCCACCACCCAGCCTGCCTTCTTCAGCTTCAAAGATGGCAAAGAGTTTGCAAGGCCAGGAAAGCCAGGTCTAGACACACTCCAGAGAGAAGCTCAGAGACTCTCTCTGCTCCCCTCAATTCCACCCCGTCTTCCTCTCACCAATCACGGTGGGCTCCAGATCCACAAACACTGCCCGCGGCACATGCTTTCCAGCACCGGTTTCACAGAAGAAGGTGGTAAAGGAGTCGTCCCCTCCGCCGATGGTCTTATCACTGGGCATCTGCCCATCAGGCTGAATCCCATGTTCCAGACAGTAGAGCTCCCAACAGGCATTGCCCATCTGGACACCTGCCTGCCCCACATGAACTGAGATGCATTCACGCTGAGGTATAAAGAGAGGGAACACAGCATGAGCCCCATGTCTACAGTGCTCACCTCACGAGCCTCTCTCCCGCCCTATCACCTACCAGCTAGGATGCTTCGGTTGGCAAAAGGGAAGGCCTGGGGCTGGGCAGAGGTGGGAAGAGGCTGGCAGCCTGTCCAGGCTGCCCCGCATAGGACTTAACAACTGGAGGCACCCAGTGGCAATTCAGTCCCTTAGTCTCCCCTTCCCTGTGAGGACCTTGTCAGGCAAGAGCGGTGGCTCCACATGACTCTGCCACACTCAGAAGACACTCAGGAAGGACAGAGAGGACAAGTGCCCATAAGAAGCAGGCAGACACTGCAGTAACTCTTGAGACAAGTACAAGTGGCTTTTCAGCTGTTTTTAGGTTTATACACCCAAACCAACCTCTTCAAGAGCCTGAGAAAGGACAGGTTTTCCAGGGCCGTGAGTTTATAGCTAGAAGCTCCCCCCCCCCACCCCCAGCTTGATTAATTCTTTGAGGATGAACAGCTGGAATTTCATAAAACGCTCTCCCCCCTGTCTTTCCCGTGAGCTGCAGAGGTGTCTTAGCCCTCCAGTCTGGCATCAACTGACCACACTGACCATTCAGGGTGTCCCCTCCAACACCTTTAAATCCCATCTGGCTCTGGGGATGAATCCCAGCTGGCTCCTCTCCCCACCTCCACCCCCGCATTCTGGATGTCTTCACCACCTTCATCCACGGTGGCGGCCCTCACGGAAATAGAGAGTGCAGATGGCAGGCGCGAGCAATAAGGGTTGTGGGCACTGGGGCACTGGCTGCCTTAGGCTCATCCCTGCCAGTCTGAAATTAACCCCTAAGGAGCCAAAGTGGTGCGGCGCAGGGCCCGCGCAGCCTCCCTTCCCAACACCGAAATGGCGGGGTGACGGTTTCCAAATACCCAGAAAAGGAAGCGGAACCTGCGGTGAGGCCCCAGAGGTAACACTCCTTGCCCTGCGCAGGTTGAGCGCCACCCTGCACCCCAGCCCCGCAATCGCCAACCCCCCCCCCCCACTTCTAGATTCTTTCCAGTTACATCCCAGCCGAAAGCAAAGATTGGATCTGGGCCCCCGTTCCTGAGCTATAAATACCACCCCCCTACACACACCTCTTTCCCCTCCCCCCAACCTGGCCTGGGCCCGCGCTCTCGCTCAGCGCCAGCTGTCTCTGCCTGTCCGTTCACTGGGCTCGGGCTGGAGAGGGGCCGACTCGCCTCATGAGGCCGAACCCCATTCTTGCCACCCCTCCCGGCTCAGAAGCGGGGTGCTGAGTCACGGGGGGGGGGGAGCTGTGGGTAAGAGGGATGCACACACAGTCGGAGGAAAAGGGGATGCTGAACCAAGTAATCTGACCCCCTACCACCTTCTGGTGCTAAGCACGTGTTCGCTCAGTTCCGGGGAGAGGGGGTCGGGGTGAAGGGAGGCTAGGGGCGGAGGGCAGCCCGGCGGTCTCCCGCATCCGTGAAAAGGACTGGGAGCGGGACCGCGACACCCCTCAGGAGGGTTAGAACAAAATGCTTGGTGGAGCAGGAGGCGATTTCCAGAAGGGCTCCTCTCAGCCTCTCGGCTAGCGAAGAATCCCACCCCACTCCACCCCCTTCCCCAGCCTCCAAAAGTGCACAGCACGACTCGGCCAAAGTCACCAGGAGAGAGTGGGGGTGGGGGAAGGCACAAACCCTCGCACTTCCTCGAGACCCGGAACGCCGGATGGAGGGTCCCGAGCATCCCGGGAAGGAGGGTCCCCAAGGAGAAGGGCAATGAGGGGCCTGGCGCGATCCCGGCAGAGCCGCACTCACCATGGTGAGTCCGGGCGGTGGGTCTCACGTAGAGTCCGGGTGACGGGTCTCGGTGAGAACTGCGCTAGCTGCAGTGCCGCACCGCTCTTATAGGCGGGGGGCGGGGCCCGCGCACCGCACTCACCCACTAGGGGCTGAGCGGCCCGGAGGCCACGCCCCCAAGGGGGTAGGCGGCCTCGGGGGGTGGGGCCAGGGTGGGTCCCCTCCCCCTTCCCTGTCTCGGTCTCTCACCTGTCTGGGGTTAGGAGTAGCGATTCCGGCTTTAACCCTTCGCTCGAGGGTTTGAGCCGACACTCTGGGCTCCGGATCTCCGCTGTAGGACACAGGGCATGGTGCCAGGGCGCATCTCGCCAGCACCTGAGTCACGGGGGCGCCCATCTCCCAGGTGTTCTGACTTAGGCTCGGTGCTGTACAGGCTGTCCTTGCGAGGTGGCTGCAGCTAGACTTCGCCGGTGCCCTCCCCGCCCCGCCTCCCTGGAGGCTCCGGCCATTCCCCAGGGAATCCTTTGCAGCTGCATACCTACCGCCTTCTAGTCCTCGGCCTGGACGGCTGGCCTTCGCCAAAGCCTGTGGGCGGCCGAGGACCAAGAGCTGCACAGTCTGAGCCCCAGGGTGCAGATTCCTTACAGTACCCCACAGGCCCAAGCCCCGAAGTCTGTCTGCGAGGGCCGACTAGGAATCTGCCGCGGCTCGCCGGCTGGCCGCCGGTCAGTGGCCCCGTCGTCAGCACCGTCACTATTAGCGAGGCCTCGCCACCGCCGCCTGCCTGCTTCCCTGCGGCCAGCACCGCCAGAGCTCTGGACTGGAGCCCTCAAGGACGTGGATTAGTGTCCTGACTGCCCTATGTGACCTTGGGCAGGTGACCTCACCTCACTGAGTCCTTGGCGTATTCATCAGTGAAAAGGAGACGACGATTCCGCACTGACAGCCTTATTGTGAGGTATCAAAATGTTTGTTGACTCTAAAGTGGAAAAAAGAAAATGGAGATTTTGATATCGTGCCTCATTTTGACTTTCCCATCTTCTTTTGTTCCTAGGCCATGGCGAGCATCTTAACGCCTTTAATGCTCACGCAGAAGCCTTCATGGAAGCTTTTCCTTCTTCCTACATTCCATCTCCATTTGTTGCGAGAATGGGCTTTTCAGTCTACTTCTGCTTTCCCTTACAAGCTGTCTCCCTTCTCCGGGGAAATCATCAGGAAATGCCCCATGGGCCCATCAGTATATCCCGAAGAAACCTGTCTCTCAGGCTAGTCATTTTGAAAGAGATTCACCTGCCTCACCTACCATAGTGTTTCCTAGGGCCAGAGCTGTCTGACATTACAATCCAGTAGGATAAAAAACTAGCAGGCAACTTCCTGCCAACAGAGTAGCTAATTGACACCTTACTTAGGAAAGACACGGAAAGGAATGCAGTGAAGTATGACAAGGTCTCCCTTCTCAACAGACTTGACATGTGGTTGGAAGAACAAGACTCATTCATAAAAGTCAAAAGTGGCAGGGTGTATAGTGAGGCTGCTTTGAGAAACGGGGTCATTGTCTCTACAGAGACCCTTGGTGATTTCAGAACATATGGGCTCCTCAGACCTTCTCTGACCCTCCTTTTCCCTTGTGCACCTCCCACCAGCTGCCCTCCCCCCACCCCTGCCGCCAGCAGAAAGAGTATTGTAAAAGACCTGAGTTCTCTTAGGCAACACCCTCAACTTCTTTGACCTTCAAGTTCAGGTTCTTCCTTTGCAAAACAGGGATAACAACTTCAGATTGTGAGGACCAGATGAATTGAGGGATGTGTACATACACAGCAAAATGCTGTGTAAGCAACTGTCTGAATTCTTAGAGCATCATATACATTACTTTAGTGCACATAGCCTATCATGCTGCAGTTCATTGTGTACATATCTGTCTTCTAGGCTGTAAACTCATTCCAGGCAAGGATTGCATATTTATTCATCCTTGTGTCCCTTGTGTTCCCTAGGATGTCATGGGGGTAAGCGTTTGCTAAGTGTGTGTCAGAGGAATCGTTTCACTTCAGAGATGGGAGCAAAACTAGGGTAGAACTCTAAGAAGCCAGACGGTGCAAACTGGCAGCCTGGAGGCCACGTTCCCTCTCAGAATTTTTTGGTTTGGCCCTCATGGTGTTAATCCTCATAGCATGTAGAATATGAGAAAAATCAAGAATTGTCTTTGTGTTCAAGCATCCCCAAGACCGCCCCCATGTCAGGATTTAACTAGAAGGACTCACAGGACTCAGCACCAAGTTGTACTCCCAGCTAAGGTTAATGACAGTGATGTAGGAAGGCCACACAGCTGGTTCATAAGGGGAAAGGACACAAGCGGAATCTGAAGGGATCTATGCCCTCTTCCTCACGGGAGGGCTCACACAGCATACCCCTCCTCCAAAACAAAATTGGAGCAACCTTTCCCTGCAGTGTTTCTGCCCAGGGAAGTCTGCTAGAAACTCAGCAACCAAGGTGTATGGTGAGGGATGGTCACATAGACACCTCTGCCTTGCACATATGAGAATTCCAGACTCCTAGAAGTAAAGCAGTTGTTCAGCATCCACCAAGTTCTTTACCACACAGTGTAGGCTCGGCGAACCATCCTGATCAGTTCACCATCAACTGGGAGCACTAAGAGCCAAGTTCCCAGACACCAGCCAAAGCCAGCTTTACAAGTACTTATTTATTTACTTAACTTACTTACGGGGGGGGGGGGCAGGGCAGGTGCAGAGAGAGAGAGAGAGGGAAAGAGAGAATTCCAAGCAGGCTCCATGCTGTCAGTGCAGAGCCTGATGCAGGGCTCGAACTCACGAACCATGAAATCATGACCTGATGACCTGAACTGAAGTTGAGAGTAGGAGGCTTAACCAACCTAACCACTCAGGCACCCCACAAGCAGACCTTTCTAGGGAGCAGTCTCAACCTGCCATGTTAACACTTTCCACACAGCCATATAAAATTCTAGATGTCTAGCTTGTCTTGAAGACAACTGGAAGATCTGGCTATATCAGGCCTGCATTTGTATATAGCAACTGAGACGGGCAGAATAATAGTCCCCCAAAGACGTCCTCCACATTGTAATATGTGGAACCTATGACTATGTTACCTTACATAGCAAAGGGCCGCAAATGTGATTAAGGTAAAGATCTTGAGATTATTCTAGATTTTCTGGGTGGGCCCAATATAATCACAAAGGTCTTTAAAAAACATTTTTTATGTTTATTTATTTTTGAGAGACAGAGAGACAGAGAATGAGTGGGGGAAGGGCAGAGAGAGAGAGAAAGGGAGAGACAGAATCAGAAGCAGGCTCCAGGCTCTGAGTTGTCAGCACAGCGCCCAGCGCAGGGCTCGAACTCACAGACTGGGAGATCATGACCAGAGCCTAAGTTGGACGCTTAACCAACTGAGCCACCCAGGTGCCCCATCATAAGTCTTTAAAAGTGGAAGCCAGAGGGGCGCCTGGGTGGCTTAGTCAGTTAAGCGTCCGACTTTCGCTTAGGTCATGATCTCGCGGATCGTGGGTTCGAGCCCCGCGTCAGGCTCTGTGCTGACTGCCAGCTCAGAGCCTGGAGCCTGTGTCAGTCTGTGACTCCCTCTCTCTCTGACCCTCCCCTGCTCACGCTGTCTCTCTCTCTCTCTCTCCTAAAAATAAATAAAACATTAAAAAAAAAATAATAAAAGTGGAAGCCAGAGGCAGGAGAGTCAGAGTCAGGGAAGGAGAGGTCAGAACCAGAGGTCAAAGAGATGGAACTATTGGCTTTCAAGATGGAAGGAATCCATGAGTCAAGGACTACGGGCAGCCTCTGAAAGAAGGAAAAGGCAAGAAACAGATTATCCTCTAGAATCTCTAGAAGGAGGGCAATTCTGCCAACACCTTGAGTTTATGCCTAAATAGGTTCTGGTATTAATTCCAGTGGGGGTAGGGATGGGGAGGGCTTCCCCATACAGCACCAAACAATTCTCAGACACTAGCAGGGTGTCTTAAGAATTCAACTCAATTCGGGCACCATCTACCCAGAGATAGCATCAGATTCTACACGTAGAGGGTTTGGCCCTATACAACTGCGCTCCCAACACCCTTGCTGTTGGCTGGGCTTCTGACACACTGGCTATAAATTAGAGATTTCCATAAGCTCCTCTCGGGTTTGATTAGTTTTCTAGAATGGCTAACAGAGCTCAGAGAGACATTTCACTCACTGTATCACTGGCTTATTATAAAAGGATATAAATCCGGAATGGCCAAATAACAGGAGATGCATAAGGCAAGGTATGGGGAAAAGACCAGACGTTTCCATGCCCTATCCAGGCATGCCACTCTCCCAGAACTTCCATGTGTTCGCCAACCTGGGAGCTCTCCAAACCCCATCCTTTTGGGTTTGTATGCAAGCTTCGTTACATAAGCATGGTTGATGGAATCATTGCCCATTGGTGTTTGCACTCAATCTCCAGCCCTTCCTCCCTCTGGGGAGGTGGAAAGGGGACTGAAAGTTCCAACCCTCTAACATGGGGTTGGATCCCAGGCAACCAGCCTCTGACAAATTAGGTGCTTTCCGAAAGTCGCCTCATTAACATAACAAAAGGCACCTGAATCCCTCTCAACACTTAGGAAATTCCAAGGGTTTTAGGAGCTGTGAGGCAGGAATCCTAAACAAAGACCAAATATATATGAGGAATATATTTTAGTCATCTGAATAACCAAATATGTATTTTTATAAATCACAACATTGCAATCCCCATAAGACCTATTTTGGACTTCTGATCTCCAGAACTGTAAGATTATAAATTTGTATCATTTTAAGCTATTAAGTTGGTAGCAATTTGTAACAACAGCAGTAGGAAGCCAATAGGGCAACAAATGGAGCTCGGTGGTGGCCACCTTCTTAGGATGGACAGCAAGCTGCTCCAAATCACCCAGTTCACCGTTTCCCATCATATGGTCAAGTGTAAGGTATTTATGTTACCCTGGCCCCTGTAGCAAGGAGTTTACAACCCCGGAGCAAGCCTTCTGGCAGGAAAAATGGAGAAGACAAGGCTGCAGGGAGAAATGTCCAAGCATGTTAGTGGAATACAGATTCTGCTTCT